ACACGCCGAACTCGCCATGCGGGCGACGCATAAACGATGAATTGTAATTAGAATACACTATTTAACCCTGTCCAAATGTACAGTTTTCATTATCGCGCAAATGTTTTGGCCTGAGGATGATTTGCTGAAAACATATGTTTGCAAACTTGACTTCTCGATCTATTAAAACGTGCAATGGTTAGTCCCAAAGTCCTTCCTTAAGGCACAGCGGACGGAACAAGGATCCTATCGAACTGTCGAAGATGCCAAAATCTTAGAGGAAAAAATAAGGCTGACTATCTTTCTAAGTTCTTCCGGTCCGTCGTGAAGACTGAACTCGACTTTTTTCCACTCACATGTGAAGACTAAGTAATGCCTATTATTGATATGTTCCTCTTAACCGAAGAAATAATTCAGTAAAGTTTCCCAACTTGAAACGATGGAAGTCGCCAGGCCTTGACGCCATCTCGGCCAAGCTGTTGAATTAGCTAGCATCTACAATGGTCAAGCCGCTGGCCTTAATTTTCCAGACGTAATTTAATACTGGTTTCCTACTCTCTGTTTGGAAATCCGCAACTATTATCTCCCCGTTTAAGGTTGGAAAGAAAGTGTCTGAGAAACGCTACAGGCCGGGGATTTTTACCTCTATTTGTTGCGAAAGCATGGGAAAAGGACTAACTAAGTGTTGATACAAATTCTTGAACATGCTTAGCTGATTTTAAATGCCAAACACGGCTTTCGCAGTGGTAGGTCCTGTCTGACGGACCTGCTCTTCTCATTTGAACGAAAGCAAAATGCTCCACGAAATCTGTACTTACTTTAAAATGACCTTTGACAGCGTCCCTCACCAATTTTATCTGTGTAAACTACAAAACGCATGGCGACTGTAAGAAAATATTTGTATAAATCCAAAACCTTTTGACTGTACGATACCACAGTGTAAAAAAACGTGTGCCAGCACTCCTCAGAGATAACCGTGGTGATTGGCGTATCACAGGGCTAAATTTTAGTCCCTCCTTATAACTTGAACGACTGTTTCAGGGACCTAAACTGTGATGTCACCTTTTTCGCTCACGATATTAAACTTTGGAAAGATATGAAAAATATGGCGGATTACAACCATCTGCAAACTTAAATAGGCTAGTGGACTGTTTAAAGTGCTGGCTTATGCCCTTCGGTTGTAGTAAACACCACTTTTTTCAAATTGACAGCTGTAGAACGACTGCTGCAACAAGTTGACAGTCAGAAGGAGTTGAGTGTGTAGATGACGTCTTCACAAAAACCAACATTGAAGTGCCCGAAGGTGACGAAGGCGACGAAGTCGGCCAGAACTATATCGCAACTGATAAGGGGAGCCTTTATGGGTTTTGAAAAGGACAGCATTTCCAAAATATTTAGAAGCTTCTTTCGGTCGCACCTAGAATTCTTTATACAGACATGGAGACATTGGACTGTTAAAGCCTGCGTCGTCGTAGAGAAGCTCTAGAGGCGGGCGACAAAAATGTTCGAAGGTCTGGGAAAACTGCCCTATGAAAACAGACTGTCAACCCTATACATATTTTCACCTCTCCTACAGGCAACTAAGAGGGGAGCTCATATTAACCATGGGCAGTATGAATGGCCTGGACTCTTGCTTTGTTCGTGATGATATTTTATTCAAGCTAACACGTACACTATATGCAGTTATCCTCTAAAACTACGCCCAGTAAAAGCAAGGATCGATGGACGCAAGTCTTTCTTTAATGGCAATGTGGTTGCAGCGTGGAACGCTCTGTCCAAAGGTGTTGTTTCCTCCATATAAAGATTATTGTTCACCAGCTACACAGTAATCCATACGATAATACTAATTACATGCAATTGTACTACGCGTAATAAGCAAGAAGGCGTGTATGTTTACTCTTTTCGACTAATCGATGGCTGCTCGCTTTTCGTCTGTAATTATGTAAACGACGTAATTTTTTGAATTTTGCTTCTGTATCGTTGCGTTTCTAAGCCACTTTTTTACGAATAGGGAGCGCAAAGGCCTTGGTCTATCTTTCCCTTAATAAAACTTATTGAAAATAAAGCTCTCTCCGCGCTCTCTTTGATTAGTTTAGCTGCCCGAACTCGTCCAGGTTTCTTACTTTCTGTCTTAACGGCAGTCTGTACCCGGTATAGAGTATTCACAAATGCCGACCGGTGAAATACTGCGCCTACCTTCGCCTCCTATTATCTGCATTGCTTTACTATTTATATTTATTTACCTTTTCTGCTGATAACTATTTAGTTAGTTGACCACAAACTGACCGACAATTGGCAACCCTTCGCCTGTCCAGGAAGGAGGCGGTGAGTTTTTCGTTGACATGCTGGCGCCCGTAAACGGCAGACAGGGTACGTTTACGAAGAGGCGGCCAACAGGGTGGGCTTCTGGGCACAATCTCCTCCAGGTTGACTTCCAGTGAAGGAACTTTGGGTGACCGCGGCTTTCGTCCAATATCGTAGATCTGCGACAGGCGGTCGTGCATCCACTGCGAGGGGAAATCTGGATTGTGTCGTCGAACGGTCCTCAACTCAGGAGGCGAGTTCTTTTGTGTTAGACGTGGGAGACTCTGGCTAAAAAGTGGAGGGGCGAAGAAATAGATTTTTAAGGCCAGAAAAAGGAGACTTTTATCCCATTCGCATCTTGAAGAGTATGTTCCGCAGCATGATGTGTGAAAAACTCTCCCACTATAGTTAGGATTTTCAATCGCTATCGACATTACTATAGGCCTTTAGCTCAATGGTACAGCGTTGATCTAGGTAACACCCAATGATAAAAGAACTCGGGCCTGAAATCCAAGTTATTCAAACCTGGCGAAGGGTTGCCAACTGTCGCTCAGTTCGTCAACGTCTACTTAATAGAAAAGAAGACGACTCGATCGCTGGGACAATACTTTTATTCGCCTAACGTTTCGAGATCCGTCGCGGATTCCTTATCATAGACATAGTCAGAGAACATCGTATCAGCTTACTTAATAATTATGCGTAGAAAATCTAAATAAATATAAATAGTCAAGCATCTTTGCTTTGTCGGATCCGCTTCTTCATCATATCACATTTTTTCCGGTCTCCCTTTGCTTTGTCGGATCCACTTCTTCATCATATTACCTTTTCCGGTCTCCCTTTGCTTTGTCGGATCCACTCCTTCATCCTATCGCCTTTGTGCTATGTGACGGTCATTGAGGGTTTGCGTTGCGATCTCCTTGGCAAAGCGGAAATATGTGACGGTCATTGAGGGTTTGCGTTGCAAGCTCCTTGGCAAAGCGGAACTGAATTGTTCCTTGACTAGATCGGTGAAACACCTGCATTCATTCAGTCAAGCATCTGAGGTTTTGTGTGGCTGGCTAACAAGACATAAATGAGCGTCCCGGACCCTTAGTCTACGTTGATACATTGGCTGTATGATTATGGGTCGTTATCCGACTACCTTTCAGGGCTTTTCAGTTGATTAACCAGAAATAGGTCGTAACCTTATTGACTAACTTCTCGAGACTGGTGTTCCAGTACCCCTTTAGGTTGGCAAAATTCCCACTGAAAAAATTCAAAAAATAAATTAGCGAGCATACGATTGCTTTCGGTACATTCTCTTCAGACCTGTATATTTATATCGTAGATTAATTGCTCTCGTCCTATACGGAGGGGTCAAGGATAAACTGCCAGCCTAGACTACCCCTATGTACGTCTAGTCATGTGCCTGCTCCTGTAGATCACAATATATTGGTCTCACGAGTCGGCATTTGTCCAAAGGTGTACAAAAATATCTTCTAGCACAGTTAAGGAAGGGCCAAATAAAGAGTATTAACAGCTACATTCTAATGCGAATGGTAGTCTCATTTCATCACGTAGATGCCAGAGATGCTTCCAGAGTGATCTAAAAGGTGCCGTCAAGATAGTAAAAATTCCCGGGAGAGCGTCTGTTGGCTGCAGCAGAATCGGCTACCGTCAGGTTAAGAAAACGCCCAAAATAACTTCGTAAAGGCACCGCAGTTATTATGACGGAAGGTCGGCAATTCAACCTACCGCAGCCGGTAGCCCGAACACCCTGACGCTGATCTATTGTGTCCCTTCCTCTACCTTGACAACCCCACAATGTTTTTACCAACCCGCATATTTTATTTTATTCAATTCTGTCATCCTTCCTAATAATCAAGTAGACTGGTAGTCATTATGGTGGAGTCCAGATAATTGCTTAGGAAATCCTGTCTGGACAGTCAGCTTACTGAATCAGTATTGATAGATTCCATATTTGCAATAGGCTGGGCGGATAAATCGACACAATTGTTATTGAATTCACGGTTTCCGGTGCGCGTCGTAGAGCGTGGTAGAGCGTTGGCTGTACTCAAGCCTTCCCTTGTTGACATGGGTTCAAAAGCCATCGAGGCCACACATTTTTCATAATTGGGTCATTTAATTATTTAAATCTGTCACCCTCTCCTAATATTTTATTTAGCTAATTACAATATAAATGTACAGGCCTGTAGAGAATTTATCAAAAGCAGATGTGTGCTCGCCAATTTATATTTTGAACCTCTTTGGCTGCGTGAAAAATATACAAAAACAGGTACCTGCTAAACTGTTTGTAAATGAGTCTATTGTTAGCTGAAAATTGCACCAGAACGTGTCCATTTCTTCCTGGTATAAGACAGGAATTGGCTGTGATCGGCTCCCACACTTTACTTCTCATAATTAACATGCTTATCTTTTTGTCCTTTATAGATCAATCGCTAACAATTCAGTGTACTGTATCCGTATCGGCGGATTTTATACGCACAGTAGGCTGGGCGGGTAAATCGACCCAAGTGTGATTAAATGTAAGGCTTTCGGTGTACCTTTGTAGCTCAATGGGTAGAGCGTTAACTGTACTAAAGCCATCGCTGCAGATGTGGGTTTGCATCCCCCGAGAGCCCAAATTTTGCACAGCTGGGTCAATTGAATTATTCAAATCTGCTACACCCCCTAATAATAATACCAATAATATTTGAACGGCTGCTGGTGAGGCTCAAGATTTAGCTGTCACTCTATATCTGTAATGCAGTTCAGTAATGTTGAGGACGTCCATCTCCAAGTTCCTAGGATGGTGCATCCTAGTGAATCCGGTATATGAAAAGCCCGCCAATAAAATACCCAAGATGCAGTGGAAAAAGATGCTGGGCTCCTACCAACCTGCAGTCCCAAAAAGTAGGGGCGAAGGGCGTTGGTTGTTTAACACGATTATCACGATTCGGAGGAGGAACTGGAGATTCTGTGTTAAGTAGGCACGGAGTATGCATGTTGGTGTCCTAGAGAAGTTGCTTTTATGAAAATTATGTTTTCTCTGACGCTCGCGTTCTCATACTTTTTGCCCACGGTGCTGGTGGTGATGGTTGTGGTGGTGTTAGTGCTGGTGGTGATGGTTGTGGCGGTGTTAGTGCTGGTGGTTGTGATGCCAGTAGTTGTGGTAACAAATCCTAGTCGCCTATTATGAGAGATGTCTGAATATGAACGATTAGTGCTTACATTTGCGTCGTTCCATTTGCTGTCTCAAAGTCGAGGTAAGACGATGAGGCTGGCTCATAAAAGTTTCTCAACTCCTCTGCAAAAAACAATGCATCATACAGGAGGGCCCAAATACATGCGAAATCATACAAGCATAGAAGCAGTGATGCAGATCAGTATATAATTAGCAAAAATGACTACCTGATGTACATATAGCAAACTTCCCATGTGAATAGACCGTAGAAAAAATTGAGACTGGGATTCAAAAGCCCCCACGAAAGGTTGCGTTTCATATGTGTGCCGGTACATTAACTGCGATGACTACAGCAAATTCCCTAACTCATTAAATATCAACCGAAATTCTGAAATGTGTTTTAGATTCGCACATATTAAGTACGGATGGTTGCAATGATGCTCAGTGTACAGATTATTCCAATATACTCAAGTCACGTCAGGTTGCTGGCTTTTGGAAGAGCCTGCAAAAAGTATACTCTGTAAAAAATGCCTACTTAAGCAGTATGCATTTTTTCAATAATTTTCATTGCCTTATAAATTCAAGTACATTTTACAGAAAACATGAACAAAAATATTCTTTCTTGTTTTCGCCTGGTAGCAAATTACACGATTACAGTGTGTACTTGAAGAAAAGGGTACCTCTCAATTTCAAAAACTTTCTAGTTATGAGAGTTTTTAAGACCATGAAAGTTGGATTCATAAATTAAGGCAGCCATCCATTTATCAGTGCCACTTATAAATTATACAATTTGGTCCACATCCATTGCAAAATCTTATGAGAACTATGTGATTTCTTCCTTATACCGTAGAGCCGGGGTCAGGTCAGGTCAGGTCAGGTTTTATTCAGG